ATGAGATATCTTGCTAATAAGTCATTAGTTTTTCTCTTTGTTTACTGATGGCCTACTGACAAGGTAGGCACCCTTCAGCTACTGAGAGATTTCTATATCCAGATGCTCATTTCCAACATTGTTTGCTACCCTTTTTTATGTTTTTCTGCTTTAAACTTTGACTAGTGATCTGACGAAGTACATAAGTTACCCAAATGCATCACTATATTCAGTGTGCCACAAATTATGGTAAATTCCCAATGTATATTCAAAAACTTTAAAATATATATATTTTTTCAAGTGTAAATATATACTCTAAATTAAAATATATGAATAAATACATGTATTTGTTAAGTACACATTATCAATTTCAAATATTTTATTTGGAAAAACTATCTTTTAAAATTATAAGATTGAAACATTCTTATACTAAGAAAATGAAGGGAGTTTTCATTTCCCCTCCTTTGTCCTGAGACAGTGGGTAGCATAATGGTGGGGTAAGGAAACACTTGCCTTGGGGGTTGAATGCATCAGCATGTCATGTGCAGATCTGCAAAAATGTTCACCAAAGTAGATGTTGGCTGATGATGAAGAGCTACTCTGGGAGAAAAATGTGTCCTTCATATCCTTGTGCAGTGCTGCATCCACATAACTCTTGACTACACCTTTTGTCCATCACATTGGACAGGAGGAATTATAGAAATAACACTTGAGTTTTAGCATCCAATTTTTAATAGAATTCCCCATTCTCTCTAACTCATCAGTTTGAGATTACTGTTCTTGTTTTATTGATATTTAACGTGAGAACAGTAAATTAGCAATTTGATTATTCAGAGCCATCAGGATTCTAGTTTTGTAATGCTTATTCTTTTGGACAGCTGCCAGACAACAGCAAAAGCTCAAATCCATAACAAAGCATCTTACTATTAAAGCATCTGGTCCATGACCAGATAGTAGGCAAAATTTGTTTGTAGAGATTTCAGGGATATATTCTCAGGGAAAGATGCTTAAGAAATGTAGCTTATGCTCTTAATATTTAAAAAAGTAAGCTGAGTGTGGTGGCGCACACCTGTAATCCTAGCACTTGGGAGTATGAGGCAGGAGGATCAGCGTGTGTTTGAGGCCAGCCTGGGCTGCATAGTGAGTTCAGGGCCAGGCTGAACTACAAAGGGAGACCCTGACTCCAAACAAACAAACAAACAAACAAATTTTTTAAAGTAACACGTTACATATTTTAACTGAAATGTGATTTATTTGGTTTAAGATTTCCAATTTAGAGCCTAAATTATCAGTAAATAGGAAGACTGAAGAGAAACCAATGTGAAAGATTAAGAGACAACTAAATTCCAATGTATGAATAAAGTAAGAAACAGAAAGATAATTTCTCCATGTGGATTACACCTGTAATTCCAACATTCAGGAAACTGAGGCAGGAGGGTCACTTCTAGTTCAAGGCCAGCCTGGACTACATAGTCAGGGACAGCCTGAACTATATAGTGAGACCCTGTCTCAAAAAATCAACAACAAACAAAGGCAATATTTAGTTACATTCTAATACAGCTGAGACAAACCCCATAAGAATGGTCTGATAACAGGTAAAAAGAGAAAGTACACTTTTAGGAAAGGTAAATCTACACCCTATGATTGAAAACAGTGCTTCCCAGAAGTCAGTCAAGAAGGAGCTCACTAAAACTATGTTTCAGATGAAACTTGAGACTGTCATGCTAAGCAAAATAAGCCAGTCTCAGGAAGTTAAATGTTGTTTTCTTTCTTTTATATGAGAAACCTAAAATAGAAATAATTAAATGAATAAAATAAAGGAGCAATGATAGGAAATTTGATAGACTCTTGGAGATAGGAGAGGAGGAAGGAAGGGCAGAGGAGTAAAAGGGGGAAGCGGGTAAGGGATGAAATGGAGATGTTAGATGCATCTGCCAATTTCTCAAAACACACGTCACTATTCTGTAGTGTAAGCATATATGCTGGGGTGTAGCTCAAGTGCAGAGTGCTCAGCATTTGTGAGGCCCAAGGGTTATTTTTGTTGCTGTTGTTTGGTTTTGTTTTTGGTGACAGAGATTGAACTCGGGTCCTTGCACTTGCGAGGCAGGTAGAGGAGCCACTGACTAAGTCCCCAGGCCTCAAGGTTTAATTTTTACCAACACGCATACACACACAGACGCACACACACACACAATCTATAGTGTATATAGATATATCTACTTATACCTATATATGATTTAAAGGTTTTATCTCATCAAAGAATAAATATGAGAATTCAGAACTATCCAATGATAATATGAACTGCCATCTGCAGAGCCTGCCCTATGAGCAACGCAGCTGTTTATGTGCAAACATCATTTTCCCTATTTTTCATGTGAGGAAACTGAGATGAAGAAAATGCAGTATAGCTTAGTGTCCCCTTGGTGGCAAACAGCAGAAAAGTACTGATAGGGTGTACTGTTTGGTTCTTCATTTCCCAAGCTGCAGAGCACAGATGTGTGTTAAATCTGATGCTGCTCTCCCAACCAGCCAAGCCAAAAGTGCCGTTAGCTCACTTGACAAAGCGTATTCTCACAGTGGAAAGTATAGGCATCAAGAGAACTGGCTCAGTTCTTACTCAGTGTTCACTCGAGTGCATTCTGATTCCAGTCGGATTCCCCAGTAGGTTTTGTACACAAGAGAAAATGCACGGTGACAAAGCCACATAGAAGAGATACTGAAAGTGAGGGCTTAGGTTTGCATCCTGGAGCTGTGTGGCCTTGAGCAGACTGTCATAATGTGTCTGAGCCTCACGTATGTTCTTTGAAAAAGAATGTGATGATAATTTTCCCAGTCTCACAGGGAGCCTGGGAAGACAAAATGAGATGATGCATGTATAGCACCCGCCATCGGGCAAGCTGCCACCATGACCACATGATAAATCAACTTAGATTACGTCAACCCCTTTTATTTGGCAATTGCTTCAAATTTATAAAACACTTTAAAAATCAGATTATACTGCTCTGATGGTTGTAATATAAGTGGGACAAATGGTACTTTTTTAATAGTTGTAGAAATGACTTGGAGAAAAAAATGTAATTTATGGACTATGGTATCATAGCTAGTTTTCAAGATTCATATATCTCCTGTATGACTTTATAATTGAGTCAGAATTTATAGGAAACAGTGCTGTTGTGCATAAAATTAATTGTGTAAAATGATTTTTACAGATATTTGAAAATGAGCCAAGAAAAATTTGAAATATTTGAAACTGATTTGTTAGATGACAGGGAGATGAGAAAGCAACTGGCATCTGATTGTATTACTATACAGAAGGCCTTGAAAGCTGATAGAGAGGTACTGCTGCTCAAGACATTGCTTCTTAATTTAAGGATCTCATGTTGCCATTTATTTTGTTTTGTTTTTTAAATTAATTTTATTGGTACATTTTAGGTATAGAATATAATGACATTCATCATTGGAAATTTGTACCTTTACATAATCTATCTAGGTCATTTATTTTTATTTTAAAATAAACTATAACTGTATATTTTAGGGTAGCCTATTATAGCCAAATGCTACAGACTGCGTCATGTAAAGATTAGAAATTTATTTTCTTACAGTTCTGGAAGGTGGGAAGTCCCAGATCAAGGTGCTGCCTAATTCACTTCTTGGGGAAGGTTTCTTCCTGGCTTGCGGGTGAACACTTTCTTGCTGTTTTCACATGATAAAGAGAGAATGAGCTCTCATGTCTCTTCTTGTCTTATAAAGGCAGAAGCTCTATCAAATTAAGGCTCCACCCTTATGTCATTTGTTGACTTTTATAACTCCTTCTTGACTTTATCTCCAAATACAGTCATTTTTGGGATTAGGGCTTCAATCTGTGAATTTTGAGGGGGTCACAGATCAATCCATAACATTATAGAGCATGTGTTTTCAACAACAATAATAATGGAGAAGCTCTGTTGTTTTCCCACACTGAGTCCAGGCACTAGCCAAGGAGGCCTTTAAGTAGCAGGTACTTAGTTCTTGTGATGTCCATAGGGTCATTCACTTGTGTCTCACTTTAATCCTGTCCTGCCATCTTGGAAAGATCTATCAGGAGATATAATCAACTTCTTTTCTGAAGAGAGACCTGAAAGTGAGCTCATGGAAGTCTGGATCACAAGCTAGTGGATGGTGATACATAAATCAGTTTGCAGGGTGGGTGAGGGCAGTGAAATGCCCCAAATCCGTCTTAGTGACTGACAGGAAGTGTTAGTGCGGTGGAGATAGGAAATCCTTACCACTTGCCACCCACCACCTTCTTAGCCAATGCTGTCATCACTCCCTCTGATTTCAAGGCTATGGAAAATGTACCAAGTAGCTTCTCTCCTAAAGTAAATTGTATATAACCTGTTGGCTATTAGGTACCACAGACTGACTCTCAAATCCCATCAGACACTGTCTACACCATGTAATCATTGTAAACATTCGAAAAAAAAATCTATCTGACTAAAATGTTTTGTCTCATGAATATGAGAAGAAAACCAGAGGATTAGAGGAAATCCTAGCTGATTTAAGTCACAGAACATATGCTGTTAAGTAAGGCAGCATAATCTGTAGTTAAGAACACAGAGTTTGAAGTCAGACAGACATAGGTTTGGAATCTTGGCTTTACAATTTCTGCCTACGTGAACGCAGACAGATACTTATGCTCTCTGAGCCTTAGTTTCAACAACCCTCTTCCAGAGGTGTCAAGATTAGAGGTTAACCACATGGCACATTGTTCTATGAAAGACAACATAAGATACATTCTTAAAATGGATAATGTAATTATCTAATACAAGGATTGCGGAAGATTTTACCTCTATGCTTAAAGTAAAAATGACAAGAAACCACTCTTTCAACCTGTGAATGATAGAAACTCACGAATACTCAGTTTAAATTTAAAATAAAAAGAATTGTCAGGACCATTCCAAGATAACATTTTAAACTTGTTAACTCTTTTATGGGGAAATAGTCTTGTTTTATTCTATAAAATATCTTCATTTCTTAATCAGGAATTACAAAACTCGAAGTCAGAACTTACATGCCTTTTAAATGAAATTCAGAGTCTTCCAGGAGCAGCAGAAGGCAGAAATCATTTTTTAATAGCATATCACCTGCTACAAAGAGAGAATTCTGATTTAAAAACAAAGGTGAGATTGAATTGGGAAGAACTCAAAATGTTTTATATTTAACATATCTTGCATTAATTTTCAGTAAGAAATGACTTGGAAATTGGACTTTCTGTGTTCTATTCAATAAATTGTCATATAATGTAGACCATAAATGAAGCTATAATCCAAGATGAATATTCAGACTTCAACAAATGCCTGTCACTTAAGATTAATCTGTGAATTTTCACTTTAAGTCAGCTTCCTACCAACTTAGTTTTTAGGGCACACATTACTGTATGTAACACAGGGAGAAAAAGGCCCAGAACATAGGGTTTGCTGCCTGGGAGGGTAGGTACAACAGGGGACAGTCTACAACTAAGCTTTGTTTGTGGACTTTGTCAGCAAGGTGAATTATCATCATATTGTACGGTTACAAGACGAGCTCTTTCAAATATTATTGGAAAAGTTAACACAAAGGACGAGGTGAGAAGAATGTAACAAAATCCAGAGGTACAGACCACAATCCTGGTAGTCTGACACACTCTCTCTCTCTCTCTCTCCTGTTTCTTAATTTTTTGTGGCAAAATAATTTCAGACTTACAGAAGAGTTACAAACATAGTACAAAATATCTCATATGCCTTCAAGACATAATCTCCTTTACTGCTAAATATTTCCATATGTACTAAATTTCCATGTGTGCTAACAAACAAACAAATAAATAAAATAACAGCTCTTACAATACCACAGTACAAATCTCAAAATGAGGAAATTAACCGTGGAGACAGTACTCTTGTCTACAGGTTATATTTAAATCTTACCAATTATTCTACTCTGTAACAAAAGAACATTTTTTTGTTTGTTTGTTTGTTTTTTTTGAGACAGGGTCTCACTATGTAGTTGAGACTGACCTGGAACTCACTATGTAGCTCAGGCTGGTCTCGAACTCACAGTGATCCTCCTGCCTCAGCCTCCCGAGTGCTGGGATTACAGGCGTGCGCCACCATGCCTGGCTAAAAGAACATTTTTCTAATCTGAGATCTAATCAAAGATTATACAATTGCATTTAATTGTCATGTCCTTTAATCAGACTTTCTTTGTCCTTCATGACTTTGATATTTTTGAAAAGTAAATCTTGGTTTGGACTGCTAGCCAGAATACCATGAGCGAGGTGGCTCAAACCACAGACATTTACTTCTCACAGTCCTGGAGGCTGGGAAGGCCAAGATCCAGTACTGGAGATCTGGTGTCTGGTAAAGGCCACTTTCTGGCTTGCAGATGGCTGAGAGCAGAAAGATGAAGTAAGCACCCCCGCCTTGTGACCTAATTACTTCCCAGAGTCCTCTCTCAATACCATCCCACTGAGTGTTAGGGTGTCAACATATGAATTTCAGAGGAGCACAAACATGCAGTCCATGACAAGCACGGATCATTTGTTTTGAAGACTGTTTTTCAATTTGGGCTCATTTAATATTTCCTCACGATGTCATTTAGATCACTAATTATTGGCAGGAATGCTGCTGAAGAGATACTGAATCCTTCTTAGTACATTTCATCAGGAAACGTGCTATCTTTTGTTCCATTACACATGATGTTAATTTCAATAATTTGGTCAAAGTATTCTCTGCTAGATTTCTCATTGTAAAGTTTTTACTGTTCTCTTTAAAATTAATAAATACCTTGTGGAGAGGCATTTTGAGACCATGTGCATTCTGTTTCCCATTAAACTGTTACTTGTTAAAGTTTCTCTCTTGCCTAGTAGGGATTTAGCTCATTGGTTCTGCCTGCCTCGCAAGTGCAGGGTCCCATGTTCAATCTCTGGTACCGAAAAAATAAACAAACAAAAATTTATCTGTTGAACAGAGAAGGAGAAAGAAAGAAAAGTACCCTGAGTGTGATGGCACATACCTGTAATTCAAATGGTATTTAAACATAACTGGTAATTAAGTTGGGCTATATCATTAAGACCAAACTGGAAGAGTGTTGGTCTTTTCCCACACAATCCATATCAGGGAAGATCCTATGGATATAGCTTTCTTCATAATGAAAATCATAGCTTCTACTTGCTTAATGTATACACTGTGTTATGTAATAATCCAGACTACATAGAAAATGTTCAATATTGATGTTACTAGCTTCTTCAGTTTGCTGTAACATTAGATCTAAATTCTGGTGTTTGCTGTTCTTTAAAAACTCACATTTATTATGTGATATTTACATTTTTACAATGACCATAAAAATCAGTGATTAAATAACATTTTAAAATCTGACTTAGTTACACTACTTTAAAAGCTTAAAGGGTTAATTCCCATTTCCCACCCTAGACCACTGATTCTGAATTTCAAGATAAAAGATAAAATAGGAGCTAGCATTTGTTTTTGTTTGTTTGTTTGTTTTGTTTTGTTTTGTTTTTAAGACAAGGTCTCCTTATATACCCTAGGCTAGCTTCTAACTCATCATCCTCCTTCCTCAGCCTACTGAATGCTGGGGTTATGAGCATGTGCCACACATCCAGCTATCAGATAGAATTTAAAATAAACTCCTCTGGTGATAAAAGCTAAAGTTTGAGACCCACCCAATAGTCTGGGAGCCTTTACAAGTTCAAGTGTTTTTAAATAGAGTCAGGGTAGAAGAAAGTTGCTCTTATATACTTTCTAATGTTTTTTGAAATAATATATTTTTATTTTATGAATCAATAAAGTCCATTCAAAACGTGAGAACAGAAACTTATGGTAATAGCATAAAACCCTATAGATCACTTTTTTTTTGCTTGTTAAAAAATAAAACAAGGCTGGGGATTTGGCTCAGTGGTTCTGCTGCCTGACTTTCAAGCACAAGGGCCCGAGTTTGATCCCCAGTACCATAAAAAATGTTTTTAAATAAATAAGAATTTAAAAAATAAAACTTCAACAGCAATGAAATGCCAACACCAGAGACCAAAAATATATTTTTGTTTGTGTAACTCATGAACTTATAGCACTTCTATGCTTATGGTAAAATGGATTCTATTAAATAACAACTACAAATTGTTCATTTAAGTTGGAAAAAGACCAATTAGGATGTCAATTTACATTATGTAAGCCAATGATCAAGCAGTTAATAGAATGAGTATACTTTTCCACAGCTGTATTAAGGGCATACAAAATAGAATATTTGCCTTTTCACTTAAATTTACAGGTCTTGGAGTTTTCACAAGAATTGGAACAATTAAGTCTTTCTACGGTAGGGGAAAAAACTACAACTGCTAATTTACTTACAAGTGAAAATACACGTAAAGCTTTGTTGCCAAAAGTACCAATTTTGGAAATAGAAATCCAAAGTCCAGAGGAAGAGAAAAAGGAACTCTGGTAAATTGAGAAAATTCCATATTAATTGCTTAAGAGGGGTATGTTTTATTTGGCTTGATCAGTATAAGAACTTGACATTTATATCCAAGTGATATGATTGGAAAAAATAGTTTAAAGCATTCTCCAGTTTGTCTTTTATCATATTATTACCTTTAAATCCTTTTCTTTAGCCTTTTTTTTTTTTTTTTTTTTTTTTTTCCTACCAAGGATAAAACTCAGGGCCTTGCGCTTGTGAGGCAGGTGTGGTACCACTGAGCTAAATCCCAGGCCCCTTTTCTATAGCTTTTAAAAATATGTTCCTTTTATTGAAATTTTAGAAAGCAGGTAAAAATATAAGGAGATTATAATAACCCATAATTTCACTAAGGAGAGAGCCTCATTATGCTTTCTTTTTTTTTTCCTACACACACACTCACACACACAAACGTGCAGTTTTACATAATTAAGACTAGACAGGGGGTTGCTGTTTTTATTAAACATTGAATCAATTAAGTCTTATTTTGGTTTTGGTACCAGGAATAGAACTTGGGACCTTGTGCCGTGGAACCACTCAGCTAAATCCCTGGCCCTGAATCAATTAAGTCTTAACCTTATTTATTTATTTCTTTATTTAATCTTGCCCTCCAATTCTTTTTATTGCTGCTTTTTCACCAAAAGTGTCTTTCACAGAAACTTTTGAGGTTTTGAGCAAACAAACTACTTTGCTTTGGCACAAAAACTAATAAATACAGTGAAATTATTTTGTCTAGGCAAAAGCCTAGAAGTAAATAATAAAAAAGAAACAAGACTTTTTTTTGCCAGTTTGAGAGCCCCTGAATTTTATGGCCTCTTAAAAGTTGATTTTCCTACCTCACAAGCACAAGGCCCTGAGTTTGATTCCCCAGTACCAAAAAAAAAAAAAAAAAAAAAAAAAGTTGTTTTTAACTTTAGAATAATCTCTTGGTCCAAGATTCCCATCATGAAACGCAGTGCATACTGGAATGATGGTGGAGAAGGGTATGTGGTGTTGGCAAGAGCAAAGAAATGAAAAGCGGTCACAGCCTTTAGGTTTGCAGTAAGGAGTGGGAAAGTCTAATTTTTAAGCATCGGAATGCTTTACTACAGGGTTTTTATTGTTGTTTTGTTTTGCTTTGTTGTTTTTTGTAGCAGGGATTGAACTGAGGAACTTGAGCTTGTGCTAAACCCCCACTGGGCTGAATCCCTGACCCCTAATACTACAGTTTTTGAATGTGATAATTCTAGTACCTCTGTGTTAGAGATGGAAGACTGGCTGGTTAATCCATATGAGCCACAGGTGAAGAAATAAGTGGTCTACACTGAGTTAGTGGCAAGGGAGATGAAATGGTCAATCTGAAAGCTCTGCACTTGGAGTGGACATTAATGATCAAAGCTGACAAAAGCCACCCTGATAAATGGCAGGGATACTTGCCACAGTGGGCAATGCTGAGGTCTTCATTCATCTGGGAGTCTGCTAGGAGAAACGTACTGGGCTTCTCTCTAAAGAGCTTCTTGCTGCCACCTGCTTCCATTGACTTGGTCCAAAGTACTTCCCATTGCTGGGACTGCAAAAAGTCTATATATATCTACCCCGTGCTTCCCTCTCTCCTGATATTTCCTGCTTATCTCCTATGCCCCCTTTGCACCCTCTGATTACGTGAGATCCATAACAAAATCATATTCAACAATAAACTATG